CGTAATTTCGTTAGAAAACGTTGAAATCCAATCCCAAAGTATTCAGCCCAAATGTTTAGTTAAAGTAACCCCGTGGGTTAATAAACTAAACAAAGTCAACCCATGCAAAACTGGAGCAATGAAAACCAGGCTAGATAAACGAAGGGAAGTTTATAAGAACCCTTTTGGAGGAGAAGAAGGGGGGAAAAAAGCACGAAGGCACCGGGCACGGAGCTTTAATGTGAAGCATGTGAGCCGGGCTCAGCTTACAGGTACGCGGCCCACGGCGAAGGGCGCTGTCAGGCGGCATCGCCCAGCTCAGCCGGGGAAACTTTACCCGGCGGCCTGCGGCACCGAGCTCCCCGCCCCGCCGTGTGCTCCGCCCGCCCACCCGTCCGCGCTGCCCGCGGGGACCCGTGGTGGCCTGATGCAGACCCGGCGGCGCAGCAGAGGTTCTCTAGCCAGGAGAACCTCTGTGCAAATCCTAGAGGCTGAGCCCAGCCGTCCAACGCCACGGGAGAAGGTCCCTGTCCGCCCTACGCCCGCCTCGGGCGCTGGAGTGGAAGGACAAAGGCGAGCCCCGCCCTTGACCGACCGCCCTCCCTCCCCCCCCCCCTCCCCCCCGCCCCCCCTCCCCCCCTCCCTCCCTCCTTCTTTCCCTCCCTCCCTCCCTCCAAGGAAGCTCTTGGGAAGAGAGGGGCTAGCTGCGGAGCACCGAGTTACTATTAGTTATTTTTGCTTGATCAGCCTGGAGCAGCAGCCCCGAGGTGGAAGCAGAAGGGACCTGGGAAGGGCAGGTCAGAAACCTGGAGGCGTTGGGCGGCTTTGGGGACTTAGGCAGTAAAACATCTCCTTCTCGGGTGCTCCTCGCACTTCTAGCCGAACGAACCATCAATAGGGGGGGGGGGGAAAGAGAAGAGGCGGGTGAAGGGCGAAGGGGGAGGGTTAGACGTCCCCCTCCCATCCTTTAACTTCCCTCGCCCCCTGCCCCCAGGAATTCCTAGGAGCAGCCGCCCCAGCCAGCCCGGTCCATTCTGGGAGCTCCGTGTGGAGATCAGAGGCAGTACAGGTTCTCGGTTAAATGAACCTTCAGGAGGGGGACAATGGCGGGGACCTCACACGGGGGGCACCGCGCCTTCCCCCACCCCTACTCAGCTGCCGCGTTCCTTTATTCCACGTGGTGAATCCCGCCGAACCAATGGGCCAACCCCGGAGAGCGCGGGACGTTCAGGAGATGGTTTGAAAGGAGGTGTGGGTTTTAATTTTTAAAGCGTATAATTGGAGGAGGGTTATTTTTTCCTTGGCCAAGGAGGGGTGAAAAAAAAAAGGAGGAAGAAAGGCAGGGGGGAAAGTCAGGAGAAACACGACGCATTTATCTATCAACCGCTAGGCAAGACAAAGAGGTTTTAACAACAGTTTGAAAAGAGCGGCCTGTGAATGGTTACTATTCAATTTGTATTTTATTCCCCGCTGGTCATGGAATTGAGATCAGAAGAAAAAGTGAAAACACATGGCCGAGGTCAGGGGATCAGAGAACCACCACACACAGCAAAGGGAAAAGGAAGGCAATGGGAACTCGTGTGAAGAAATGGATTATATAAACAGAGCTTACCATCGCCTGCGCCCCATTATCCTGTAATTTACCCTGCATGGGAGCATAGAAATATATTAAACTAGTGATGGGTTTTACCATTGCTCTACAAGCCAGCCTCGTGCCAATCAAGCCTACTATATACTTTGAGACATGTTTAGAATTCTTGAACTAATGTGTTTATTTTAAATATCACAGGGAAATTATTACATCACTAGAAAATAATGCCAGAGCGGGGGTCTGCCGCCCTTTTGAAGTTCTGTTTCAACGAAACATGATTTTAATTACATAATCACTTTGAAACTATAATTATACAATAAACGATGAGGATTAAGCGGGAAGTATAGAGTACATTAAAAATTGCTTAGGTCTTGAGAAAACAAACTGAACATGAGGGGGGAAAAGAAAGAGATGAAACCCGAGGTCCTGGGGAGGGGGTTGATAAACCCTACAATGGCTTTTTTCTGAGCCACAGAGGGATGGGCGCCTGGGGCTTTCGACCCGGGCTACAAGCAGGCAAGTTTGCAGAATAAATGCTAGCAAATTCGAGACAGAGTCAGAGAGACAGAATCAGATGAAAGATGGCTCCGTGTTTGCTTGTTAGTCTTTCTACATAAAAGCGAATTAAGTTGCTGTTTGACGTTTATGAAGTGCATTTACACCGGCACCCGTAGTGCCCTGAAATGCCAAGGGGAGATTGTTTTGTTGGCCCCTCGCTTCCAGGAGGAAAAGAATCCCGGAGAAATGGCGTCCTGGGTGCCACGACGCCCGAAAAGAGCTTATAAACAACTGGTGGCCCCAGCGCGGCTGTGAACGCCCTGGGGCTCACACGCAAACCGTGCTCCTCCTGGCACCAACTTCCTGGCCCTGGGCTCTTTTGGGCTACCCCGGCTGCCTGCAGTTGCTTCAGGCTTCGCGTTGTTTTCGCTGTGGCCAAAGGCAGGAATCAGATTTTCCCCCTAAAAGGTAGAAACTTGGCCGCGCCCTCCATTCGAGTTTTAGGTCTAAGAAGGTCTGCAGACAGACCGCTGGCCCTATTTGCCTTCAGATCCTGGTGACAGAGGTCGAGAGCTGGGAAGCTCCAGAGGAGCAGAACCGGGGAGAGGGGAGTAAACGCCACAGATAGAGGCCGGGAGTGCCCTTTTCAGTAGATCTCTTTACCTGTGTGCTTCGCCAGGCTGGTGCGACCGGGCAGGCACGCGCAACTCGCCCATCTAACCTTATCTTTTAAAGGCGGACTTTCACGACACATTTATTATCCACATTGCTTGGGGTCACCTTTAATACTTCACAGTGTACGCTCCGGTGTGGGCAGTTTGGAAGGCAGATGCCTGACAAATGAGGGTTAAACATGACCCCTCCAATCTCAGGCAAGAGGTGCACTCCTCGCTTTTTTGTTTAAGCGGAACGTTAATGACTGGAGAAGCCGGGATGTTTAAACTCAAGTGCAATCCCGAAGATGTTTTCCTGCAGAATTCAGAGGTAGGTTTGGGGAGCTAGCTGGGGAAAGTGACAATGAGCATCTTGCCTCGCTTTTGCTTGGGCCCCGTGGTTACTGGGCTCTGACCCATTAATATTAAGGCGCATCAGCATCACATCAGTCTGCAATGGACCATCAACAACCCAGAAAAAAAAATACAAAAGAGAAATAAAACAGCTCATCCGAAGAGTCCTACTGTGAACGTGTTTATTCTTCCCTCCCCTAAGCCCAGGATGTAATTTTCTCACTGCCCTCTCGCAAATAAAAGGGCTGGACTAGGCTGACAGTGCTAAGACCCATCCAAAACCCCAGGGAAATTACCAGTGGGCACTAAGTCAGGGGCTGTTTTTCTATGGAGCCTGAAAAGAAAACAGGCAGTTCTTTCTGAGGACGAGCGATCGTGCTGGGACTGGGAAGGTTTAGGGAGCAGAGGAGAAAGATGAGATGGAAGGAGGGAAAGGAACATGAGGAGAAGGAGGAGGTGGTGATAGGGGAGATGGATCCTTGGGACTCATAGTGACAGTAAAGCATATTTTCTCTACCTCTTAGTCATACAAGAAATCTTCCTATGTTACCTCAGCTGATGGTATTGCAACATCTGCTTGATTGGCAATATCAAACACAGTATGTTTACTATATGCTTCCCTGTAGCGCCTTACATTCCTTCCTTCCTCTTATCGCTTTTGGAGGTAGGAATATCCTGATCCCATTCTACAGCTCGACAACCCAAGCACTCAGAGATTGCTTATTCTGTCCTGGGTCACCCGGTCATAAATGACCAGAGTGCATAGGAATCCAGAGTTGAGTTCTTGGCCAGGATGGTATGACACCTGAAATTGGGAGAAACTGAGGCATATTTGAGGTCCCGGCTAGGGCAATCTATAGCCAGGACTGGATTCCACAGTGTAGTGATTGTGAAGTGTGTGACCCAGAGAACACTTGTCCTGAGAGTCCCATATTATGATCAAGGAAGGCCTTTCTTTGCTGAACCAAGATTCATCAGACTGGACTTCTTGGAGAGCCAGGGCAGACAATGGAGTGATCAGCCAGGCTCTGAACCCTTTCTTCTGAGGCTAGATCCTCTCCTAGGCCAGGGAGTTCGGGTATCTCTGAGATCCCAGCGCAAGGGTGCAATCTTCTACTGAGTGGGTGCAGGGCCTCAGGAACCCCGCCCACCAGATGCTGGTGATGGCTTTGGCAGGGCACGGTGCATCTCCTCCAGCAGGCGGCACATCTCACACACGATCTCAGGTCATCACCTGGGTACCACTCTACAAAGCTTCTCGCCTAGTGCAGATGAGAAAGCTCCCAGGCAAACTCCCAGGAACTGGTGTGTGTGGGGGGGGGTGGTGGCAGTCTGAGACCCAGCTCCCAGTTATGGGCACCACCCATGAATGACATCAGCCTGACTTTCTCCCCTTTCTTCCCAGAAGCCTAGTAACTAGCAAGACAGAGATGGTTCTGTTTAGCGCCATTGCCTGAAGACTCCCATCTGTAGACTGGAGTTGTGCAAATGTGGTGACTGCCCATGGGATGAATTGTAGAGAGTAAAAGGCAGCTGGGCCTAGCCACCCAGAAGAGCCCAAAGCCAACACAGCAAGGGGAAGAAGGAGAGGCTACAAAAGGGACAGAAATGGAGGAATTGGCCATGCAGGAGAAAGTCCTGGAGGGTGGCTGGATGGGTCAACAGTGCCAGCGCCACCGAGGGTCTGATTTAAGATTGTGATTTAGGAAAAGTCCTCCCTGGACTTGACATCTAAGAAGTCCTGGGTTGCTTTAGCAGAGAAGTTAAACAGTGAAGGGTTGAATATTAAAGGGAGGCACAGAACCTCCTTCTAGCAAGACAAAGATGTAGTTACCATCAGGAAGCCTGTCCTTCCTCGGGGCCCTGAGCATCTCCTTGTCACACCACAGGAGACACAAAAGGAATCTGCCATTTCACTGTAATTATAAAATACAGACCACCCCACGAATCTGTGTGTCACCCTTGCACAGGGACTACGTTATTCTTCCCTGTACTGTTTCTGTCTCAGCGCATCTGCCAAAGTGAGCAAGGCTGCTAATTTTGATGCTCAACTAGAAATGGAGTTCTCAGACATGCACACTAGTACACAAGACACCATGCACTGGAGGAGAGCCAAACCCAAGCTCACGGCCAGAATATGAAACCTATTTAAAACATGCTTGATTCCTCCCTGGAACAGGGCTTACTACGCTCGTGGTCAAATCATCTCCTCCAGCCAGGTGGCAAGCTAAGCAAATCCAGCCACAATTCCAGGCCACAAAAATCAGCAGAGTGGCTGCCAAAGCCTTGCAGGCCTGAGTCTGTTGTCTAACAGGAGAACCCCCTGGAGCAAAACAGACTATATTCCTCCTCTATGGTGCTTGCCCACTCTAAGGGAAGTCAGAGAACCTACGATGAGGGAAAAGAAGAAACCATGAAAACATGGAATAGAAAGAAAGAAAGAAAGAAAGAAAGAAAGAAAGAAAGAAAGAAAGAGGAGGGAGGGAAGGAGGGAGGGAGGGAGAGAGGGAGGGAGGGAGAAAGGAAGGAGGACATTTGAAGCTGTCTCTGAACAGCCCAACACCATACAACATGACCAGGACACTAGAGAAGTCTGCATCTTACTTCCTCAGCCAGATTCTCCAGGGCAGAGGCTAGTTCTACAAGGAGATGGGAGTCCCAAGGGCTATCTCAAGGTTGTCTCCTAGTCTGTCCTCCATGGGTGTCTTAATCGGATCCTGTAAAGAGCCACACGTGCCAGAGGGGTTTCTGGGCCAGGTCAGCAGGCTGCCAGGCTCTGTCTCCGTAGCTGAGCTCTGTGTGTGTGTGTGTGTGTGTGTGTGTGTGTGTGTGGTGGGGGTGGGGAATCAAGGACTCCAATAACTGGTCTTCTCCTGGTTTGCATTTGGCCCGTCCGAAAACACAAGGGCATAGCAAGGCAGAATGGCAGTTCCCCCTGGGTGGGGTGACTGGAAGTGAACACAAGAGGGCGCTCTCTGTCTTGACCTGGGCGTAGGTTACAGGGCACGCAGGCGTTGAACCTTGGGATCGCTGAACTTTTCTGTTGGCGTATTGTACTTCCGTTTAAAAAGCTGTTAGTTATTTTTTTCTCCCTCAACCAATGAAAACCATGCTCAGCGCCTCCCTGTTGCCAGATTCCAAAATACCACTCTGCCTTTTCTCTCTCGTCGGGCAATGGTCTGCAATTTTCCTCTTGCCCTGCAGCCACCACTATGCAATTTGCACCTCACTAATTTCCTGGCTGAGCCTTAAGGCTGTCTGGCCACCGCTCGCTCCACCCACCCGGGACAGCAGCAGTCCGCAGCCTGTTGCTCTGCAACTGATTGGCTGTTTGTGACCTGAACACAACTCCAGCTTCAGCTTTGAAGAATCACATAGTGGGGCAGATGTTTGAGGGACACAGGATCCGTGGATTGAGGGTTCCTCCACACTCCAGCTGTTAATGGGGCTGCTTTGAGCAAGCAAAGCATCACACTTCGCTTGGATGGAGGGGGAGTCGCTTGGCAGCATCGCGTGATTGACGCTCTTGTGGTCCAATTTGCCGCTCACTGAAGCATTAAAGCGGCAACCCCGAAGTCACTAGGAAGCCAGCAGCCCGAGCTCAGAGTGCTGGATACAAATAAAAAGCATTCTCCGACGTTCGTTCTCATTCTGCCTGAGCTCTCAAAGCGTCTCTCACAGGGGCCTGCCAAGTATGCGATGCAGTGGATCGCCAAGTACTTCTGCAGGTGGTAATTAAAACAGCTGAGGTCTTCTCTCTCCATAATGATGGGGTTGGAAGACTATATATAAGGGCTGAGGTTCTTTGGTTATGCTTTCTCATTCTTAAAGGCAGGGCGGTTTAGGGGGGAAAATTCACTGGTGTTAGAGAAGCCAGATTCTGGGACCGCGTAGCTTGTGACCTCAGATGGCTTATTTAGACTCTAATCTGTGAAATGAGAGGGTTAGTCTAGATCCTAGTTCAAGGCTCATTTCTGGCTAATGTTCTAGGAACTCATTGTATCGTTGCAGCTACATGCACACGATCTGTCCTTATTTAATATGTTTTGATCTATTTTTTTAAGAAAAAGCATATCCTGTCTGTTTGGACAGGTATTCACGGAGTAAGCAAATTTTTAACAAATTATACACAGACACCTCTGTGAAAGACACAACAATGAATGCAAATAAGTTTGTGTGTGTGTGTGTGTGTGTGTGTACGTGCACACACACGCATGTGCACATGTGGGCTTGTGTATGTAACTGCAGATGTTGGTGGAAGCCAACACACATTGGAGTTACAGACAGTTGTGATTGCCCAAAGCGGGGTCAGGAAGCAAACCCAGGTTTTCCGCGAGAGACTACAAACACACAGCCATCTCTCTAGTCCCACAATGAATTCAATGAAATTCACAGATAACTGTGAGTCCCCCAAAACAAATTGGACGTGGTGTTTACCTCCTTGGAATGATTATCTGAGTGTATAAGCTCCCTCTGAGAGGCTGGTGAACAATGCTCCTGTCCTGTGATGGCCCTGACACAGCTGTATTCCTCCACGGTATTGTTTGAAAGTCATCTCTGTCAGGTTTTCAAAATACGGATATCTTGCCAGATTCTTCAAATGAATTGATTTACAAAATTGCTTAGTCTGAAACACATGCAAGTTGATATTAGTAAGTTGTTCAAGGTGTCTCTGGTTATTTAAAGTTTTTCTTCATGCATGGGTGTGAGCACGTACACACACACACACACACACACACACACGTTAGACACTCAGATATATGCACTGTTTGAACTTTTTGTTAAAACCAATTGTCTTAGTTAGGGTTTCTATTTCTGTGAAGAGACACCATGCCCATGGCAGACCTTCCAAGAAATCATTTAATTATCTAATTGGGGCTGACTTACAATTCAGAGGTTTACTCCATCATATACATAGTGGGAAGCATGGTGGCACACAGGTAGAGATGGTATTGGACCTAGGGGTGAAATGGCTCCAGGCCAGTCTTCATTGTGACCCAATGCTCTCCTTAGGCCCCTGTCACCATGGTGCTTCCTCCTCAGCATTCAGTACTGTCAGCACCCCAGTCTGCACCCTGCTATCTTCCTCCATTTGGGTGATTGACAACAGGGCTATGGAGGGGTTTCAGTATCAGGTGGCAAGGAACCCTAAAGAGTTCTGGAACAGCATAGTAAAACGGATGAAAGAGTTAAAAGGACTGGTAAACAATTCTCTTTCTTCCCAATCTTGAAGGGCCATGCCTCAGAGCACCGGATGGGGAAAGAATGCCAAAGTGATGCCAGAAAGGACCAGGCCCAGAGACTCACAGAGCACAGGTTGGGAAGACTGGCAAAGGCCCAGTCCCTTCTCACTAGAGATGCCAGAGGCAAAGGTGTAAGGTGACTGACTCAAGTCCATGGCTCTTGAGTTTCACGCCAACCTCTTTCCACTCTGCCCACTCCTGTCAAAGATCTGTTCTCCCCACTCTCTTTCCCTCCTCTCCCGCTCTCTCTGTTAGGGTTTTTTTTTTTGTGTGTGTGTGTGTGTCTGTGTGTGTGTATGTGTGAGAAAGAGAGAGAGAGAGAGAGAGAGAGAGAGAGAGAGACTCAGCATATAACTCAGACTGGCCTAAAACTCCCTGGGTAGCTCAGGTGGGCCTCAAAGCTTCAATCCTATTGAATGCTTGGGTCAACAGTTTTTTTCAGGGCTTTTTTTTTTTTTTTTTTTTTTTTTTACAGTACTCACTGGAAGCCCTCCCAACTCTATCTTCTGTCTCTCATCTATTTCTTTCCTTAATCCACACTCGCTTTCTCAGGAATGTATGGACAAGTTGAGCCAGAGCTGACAGCTTCATACATGTTCTTACATGTTCTTAAAATAAAAACAGATAAACAATTAAATACCTTTATTTTGGAGTTTCTCATTCCTGGACAGGCTCCTTCTCTCTACTAAGCAAATGGATGCTCAGGCAGACTCCACCCGTAGCAGTCAGCTGTGGGATGGCTGTGGGGATGATGTTTCTTAGTTGTTTCCAGGATCCCAGGGGAAAACATAGATGGGAAGCTAAAATCTGGAACCTGGGCTAGTTCTGTAGGCAGGTTCCATGTCCCAGCTTTAGCTGAACTTGGACACCTCTCCTTTCTTATTTCCCTCTTCCTAACCCATCCTGACTCCTCCCATGAAGCCCACGACGTCTAGATAATCATTCCTTTATTTCCTGGTAAATATGGCGCTAGGCTCATTAGTGTCAAATGATTTTCCACCCCCCACTGGCTGCAGAGTTTGGGGTGAAGACTACCTGACACCCTGACACTGGAATGCGTTCTCCAGGGCAGAAGACTTTGTGGGCGGCACAAGTCACAGAGCAAGCATGCTAGCTAGTGTGGCTGGGAATACGGGAGCCGCCATCCCATCTGGACAATGGGACTTTTATTTCTGCCCTGCCTCAGCTGGCAGTCTCTCTCCCACTGTCTTTCCTGGTTGGGCTTTGGTTTAAAGTTACCCTTTTGGGATTTGCTTGGCGTTTTCTTTCGCATGCCACGGGGGAAGTTTCTCTTTCCGAAGTGGACGGTACAGAGAGGGGTCAGTTAGTGCCAGACCCTGCAGAACCACAAGCATTGGTGTTCAAAGGCCTCCCTAAACCAGCCTGTCAGACAGGGCCCAGTCGAGCTTGCTTCTGGCCATTTGGAGAGGCATAATACATGGCAAGCTAATCTTAAAATTACAGTTTTCTGTTGGGTTTATGTAATTTTGACTGAGTACCCTTCTCCCCGCTGACCCTCAAGGTTTCCACAGAAACATCTGGAAGGAGAGTTGTTTGCGGGAGGTGCCCAATTTCTACTCATCTTTATGTCTCAGTCACCATGAAGTCTGGCCACCACAGACAGCCCTGTCTCTGATTTACTCTGAATCTCAGTGACAAGTCAAATCCAATAATCGCAAGGACTTGCTGCTCTTTAGCCCCGCAGAGGCAGGCCGGGTTGTTTTGTTGTTTGTTGTTTGTTAATAAAAATGCTAAAAAATATAGGAGGAAGAGGGTTTGAAATCAGTGAGGGTCTTTAGAAATCCCCAAATGATTCTAGTTCTGCCTTTAACACTCTGGGAAATTATTCAAGGCTGATTCTTAGTTGGGGTTTCTATTGCTGCGAAGAAACACCATGACCCCAGCAACTCTTAAAAAGAAAATCATTTAATGGGGTGACTCACTCACAGTTCAGAGGTTCAGGCCATTATCATGATGGTGGGACATGGTGCTATGTTTGCAGACATGGTGCTGGAAAAGAAGCTGAGAGTCTTACACCTTATAGGCAACAGGAAGTGGTCTGTCTCATTGGACATAGCTTGAGCATATATAAGATCTCAAATCCCACCTCCACAGTGACACCTTCCTCTATCAAGACCACATCTACTCCAACAAGCCCACATCTCTTAATAGTACCACTCCCTGTGGGGGCCATTTTCTTTCAAACCACCACAGCTGGTATAACCTGTCTTCAGCTATCTCCACGGATAACTAAGTGCTTGAAGCCCTGTTATTTTCTGCTCTGGGAAGTTGAGGTCCCATAAATGTCCCCAACCCAGATTCTGAGCCTTTATAGCCTCAGCCCTGGGGAGTCTTGTAGACTCATCCTAGTGAAGGTGTGAAGTATGATTGTATTTACACACAATCACCTCATAAATAAGCAAGCTTATACTCTATGAATGAACATCCACAAGGGGCAAGGGTGACTTCTCTCAAGTACCAGTGCCCTTCCCTGGACTTTTTCATTGATCAACTCAGTGTTAAATTAATACTACTTATGAGAAGGACATAAAGTAAAGAAGAGAAAGCAAAATAAATTCTTCTCCTTCCTCAGCACATCTTCCCCTGTAGCTGGAAAGAGAATGAAGGCTAGGCTACATCCTTTCAGGTCCCTCTCTTCCCGTCATCCAGAAAGGTACTCAAAGGCTATACTTGTTGATGCATTTTAGCTGACATTTTAAAGTTAACTACTCATTGTTCCATTGCTATGAAGGGACACTGTGACTTGTCAACTCTTATGAAGGAAAACGTTTAAGTGGGGCTGGCTTACTGTCTCGGTCCACTCGACTTGTCCAAAAGTTCTTGAGAAGGGGAATGTGGATTAAGGAAAAAATAAACTGAAGATAGAGTTGGGAGGGAATCCCAGTGAATACTGAATCTGCCCCAAGTTTATTTTTCATAGCCATTTTAAAAAGACTTTTTTTAAAAAAAAAAATCATGATACAAGGAACAAACAAGAGTGATTACTTCCTTAATTTTCAAAACATCTGAGAGCTATGCCCTAAATCAAACCTATTTGGAGCAAAACATCCAGTTGCTACACCTTTGACCAAACATCCTGTTGTTTAGGTAAGACACACAGCAACTTCATGTTAGGCCAAGAATTCTGTTGTTTAATCTTATAGGAACAATAATAGGCTCAAACTCTCTGTCCTTACGTCAAGATGGAGCAGAGTCACTTCTATAGGCCTCTACAACTTACAGTTTAGAGATCTATCATGGCAGGAAGTATGTCAGCATGCAGGCAGGCATGGTGCTGGTAAGGTGGCCGAGAGTTCTACATCTGGATTGGCAGGCAGTAAGAAGAAAGAATGAGCCACTAGGCCTGGCTTAAACTTCTGAAGCCTCAAGCCCTTCCCCAGTGACACACTTCCTCCAACAAGGCCACACCTCCTAATAGTGCCACTTCCTAAGGGCCTTTGGGGGTCATTTTCATTCAAACTGCCACACTCATATAAGCATATGTACAATAAAATCCATTTGGGGCACAATCAAGCACATGTACAATGAAACCCATTTGGGGCACAATCAAGCATATGTACAATGAAACCCATTTGGGGCACAATCAATGAATTTCTACAAACATTCGCATCCTCTTGCCATCCCTTGCCATCATAACGTAGAACATTCTATCACCCACACACTTCCTGGTGCTCTTTAGCTGGTTGTTCCCCTTTCCAACCCCATGAGCTTCTCTTCCTGTTAGGGAGTAGTTTTTGCTGTTTCTAGAGTTTCATCTAAATGAAATCATGTACTATGTTCTCTTTTCGTGTCTTAAAAAAAAAAAGCCAGCATACTGTTTTGGAGAGTCATCCATGCTGAGTCATCCACGCTGAGGTGCCAATTTTCTCTATTGCTGACTAGACCTATCTATTATGGATCTTGATGGGTGTTAATATCCTGCTCTGTAAATGGACTATAATTTCCCCACCCACTCTTCAGTCCTGAGTACTCTTGTCCAGTTTAGAGCATTAAGAATTTCCTAGGAAGCTGTTATGCAGTTGTTCATAATCATGAAAGCAAAGGAGTAACTCTGAATAGTTCAGGTCTGAATCACGGAGCTTAATAGCTGTCAGACCTATTTCTAAGGCAAGCATCATCATGTGAGCATGAAGAGGTCCGGCCATGCCACCTACATGTTGATTGTAATGTTGATACTTATTAACATTATGTGTGAATGCAACACTTCCAACCTGCAGGCTGTTTTCAGACTTGAACTCTGGCAGCATGGGGCATCCGTCAGGTTGGGGCTCTCCCATCCTCCTTCTTCATTGCTCCTACGTGGCTCACAGGGAGGGACAAGGTCGGTTCTGCTGCTGCTTAGGAGACACAAGAAATTCTGCTGATAGTTTTACCAATGAAACGTTGACCCATGAGTCCACTTACACAAATCATTACGTCCAGGTTTTGCTTGAGTTCTAGGGGATTTAACAACTATTCCATTATGTTTACATCCATTAATTAAAAAGGATCCATGAAAAGAATCTTGAAAAAAAAATATAAAGTCAATAGAACCTAAACACAATTTGACTCATTTTGCCCGTGTCATGAGGTAATTTTGATGATGGAAGATGTGCCACCCAGAAGCAATCCACTGGGTAGAGTGGCAGAATAAACCTGCACAGTTAAGCTATGACGTCCATGCTTGCA